AGAAAGACAAAGAAAGAAGAAAGAGAGAAAGAAAGAGAGGAAGGAAGGAAGGAAGGAAAGAGAGAGAGGGAAAGGGCAATGAACATTCTCAACCATGAAACTATCTAAGAAATAGTACAAACCCGAGACTTTGCTGGGGGAAAATATGCTTTAAATTATACCCGTAAAATCAAACCAATAAAGAAATTAATGGAAAATATGGATGACTCAGATCATTTTTATTCAAAAAAGTGAGAGCCAAAATCATCTTCACTCACACAACTTACTGTCTACATTTATTTACATGACTTCATTGTTCCACTGTTGTCATCGATATAACTCTACTCTTCCAGGAAACTCTTGCTCAGAAAGTCAGAAGTTGAAAATAACTTTTTTGTTAATTCCAGGAATTTCATGAAAGACACAGCAACTCTTCAATAAAAAGCATAAACAAGAGTTTACATCTCCAGGCTCTCTAAACCCCTCATCTCAAAATCTACCAGTGTTAAACTGTTTTACCACGTCCTTACCGAATTCTAAGCAAGTCCCCATCTTAAAAGCCCAGTCTTAACCTAGACTTTAAATCACTCATAACTATAACCTGACTTTGGCCCATTTCCTTTGTGGGCCAAGTGATACCAAGACACCATCAATACAGTGCTCCTCTTACCATGGTAAGAATAAATTCAGCTTTGTCTTATCATTGCTTTGGTAACATTTCTAGTGAAGCTAGCATTCAACAAAAGTCAAAACTGGAAAGTAAAAAAGCAACATAAATCAAGATAAGAAAATACATGAAAACCCAAGCATACCTCAAAAGATCAGAATAGGGAGGAGGAGTATGGTGTATAACAGCACAAGGCAAATAAGACTATGAAGACCAGCCGGGCGCAGTGGCTCACGCCTGTAATCCCACCACTTTGGGAGGACGGGGCAGACGGATCACAAGGTCAGGAGATAGAGACCATCCTGGCTAACACAGTGAAACTCCATCTGTACTGAAAATACAAAAAATTAGCCAGGAGTGGTGGCACACACCTGTAGTCCCAGCTACTCGGGAGGCTGAGGCAAGAGAATCACTTGAACCCAGGAGGCAGAGGTTGCAGTGAGCCGAGATGCACTCCAGCTTGGGCGACAGAGCAAGACTCCATCTCCCGCGCCCCCCAAAAAAAGACTATGAAGACAAAGATCCTGGTCTGGTCAATGTCTGACATGGACCTGCTCCCTTAAGAATATGGTCCTGCCAGATCTGGTGGCTCACACCTGTAATCCCAGCACTTTGAGAGGCCAAGGCAGGAGGATTACTTAAGCCCAGGAGTTCAAAACCAGCCTGGGCAATATAGTGAGACCCCATCTCTATGAAAAGTAAACAAAGTTGCCAGGCATAGTGGCATACACCTGTAGTCCCAGCTACCCAGAAGGCTGAGGCGGGAGGATCACTTGAGGTAGGAGATCAAGGTTGCAGTGAGCTGTGATCATGCCACTGCACTCCAGCCTGGGCAGAGCAAGACCCTGTCTCAAAAATTTAAAAATAATAATAATATGGTCCTAAGACATAGCTATTGCATTCCTACTTGAGGGACTAAGGAACAAAGACCAGTATTATATCTTTGCCTTCTATTTTGAGGAGTTATTTATCAAAAGTATAGATCAAGGACTGTCTACTTCAGAAGCATATTCTATCCTGGGCCCTATCCTTAATCAGAATCTCTGGGAAGAGGTATGGAAATTAGCATATTTAATAAGCCATGCCCTTTAATAAACTCTTACACCAATGTCAGAGAATCACTGAGCAAAATGTCCAATCATCATATTAAATTACCCTTTTCAACACTGGGCATCTAATTAAAACAGCTGAGTGCTTCTGGATGGAATAGATAGTGGTAAGGTAATTCAGTAAATCAAATGCTAAAACTTTTTCTCCCTGAATCCAGCCCCTCTTCTCAAGTTCATGGACTGCATTCCCCATCCACCCTCCCCTTACTGTATAAGTTGACTGATTAGATAGCAATATTACTAGTAAGGCACAGCAACCTGACTTCTTCTTTGTAGCATTTATCACAACTGTAATGTCTTTCATTGTTCCATTATTGGCTTAAACTCTATTTTCCCTGCAGGATAGTAATCTCTATTAGCAGAGGGAACAAGTCTGTCTTATACACAGTCATAGCTCCAAATCCTACCACAGTGCTAAGACATGATAGATCTTCAGTAAATAGCTGTTCAATTAATTAAGAAAATCATGGAAAATATCAGTCAAATACAGTGATTTCAGTTCTACTGACATCGATGGTGAGACATTCTCTCTCTAATAATAATCAGTCAACAAGTTGTATTGTTTCCTAGGATCACTCCGTGAAAATAAAATAAAGCCATCGGCATGAAAGAGAAAGTCTGGGTAGGAATTAGAACAATGGAAAGAGTAAATGGTTTGGAACCTTATGGGAACATTTTAAAATCCAAGATAATACATTTGTGTAACCTCAGGCTCTCTGTGAAACCTCAGGCAAGCTGATCCTTCTGAGATCCCCGTTGTCAGTGAATTGGATGTTATATTAGCTACTTCACTGACTTGTGGGTTAGATGGATTGACAGACTATGACCCATGGGCCAAATCTGGCCTGTAACCTGTTCCTGTACAATCTGGGAGCTAAGAATGGTTTTTACACTTTTTTTCAAAAGAATTAACCTATTTTATTTGACATGTAGTAGATAGTCAAAAAGCAGGTCCATATATTTAGTTTTCTGATATCCTAATGTATTTCCACAAACCTTTTAAGTCTACAATTTTATACAGTTTTCCATCAGGGAAGCAAGATACATATAATTTTTTTGTATTTAACTAATTAACGGTTTTAAGAGGGTTTAGTCTCTAAATCAGTAACAATTTGGTCATAACACCATACAAACATTTAAATATTCAGGAAAGAGATTTTTAAGATTATCGCTTAGTCTTATAAAGTGGTGAATTTTAACCAAATTGATACCTCTGTATTCTTATTTATGTTTCCTGTACTCTTACATCACACTGCTTGGCAAGTAATGTAAGTTTTGATGTAATTTAAAAATTCAAGTAGGTGTAAACAAATTCTAATTTGTTAAACAATTCATATATTCCCCTTTAGTTACTACACTACCTCAGGATTAATTCTCCTTAAAAAAGTAATCATCCCACGTAGAAAAAACAGCAGAGCTTCATCTCTTCCTTAAATATTTTCGAGTACTATAAGAATACAAATCCATAAAAACCTGATTAAAATTTGACATTTCGTCTTGCTTTACTAATTATGGAATAATAGAAAGATGTAAAAACATGTTCCTTAATATTTATATTCTTAACAGAGAAATATAAAGAAATACTGCAATTATGGTTATGGGCTATGTTCTAGCCTCTTCAAGTACAGGACACAACTATGGTTCCTACCAGTAAGGAGAAATGAATAATCAATCAATCTTACATAACACAAAAGAAAGATGAGAGGCACAAAAAGACAAACTGACTTTGGCTTTTAAGAACCTAATGTTAACCCTGAAATGCCACATTCAATAACACAACAACAAAACAAAAGATTACAGCAGCAAGCCACCACTTCACACAGTATTAAGAATTCTGAAATATGTAATAGCCTTCCTCCCACCTCCCACTCAATCTACTGGGTCATCTTTTTGCTTTTCCTGCTTTTTCACTGCAGACAGTTCAAGGCTTGCCCACTGCATCGGTTCAGCTTTTCTCATAGTGATCTCAATCTTTGTTGCAGTTGTAGTTACATAACTTCACTTTACATCAGTCACACCCCATATTTTCACATTTTGATCAAATTCCTTCTCTCCTTCAAATACAATGTGCACATTTAACAATGTGCTATGGGCTTCTACTCGACTAACTTCTGGAAGTGAATCTTTAGCATATACTGAAATGGTAACTTCACCTCCAGTCTGATGCCAGTTATGTGTACATGGAACAACTTTTTTCCCAGCATCCTTTTTAGTCCACATGTGTTTCCCTGTTGTACAGCCCTCTTGGGCTAAGAATGTATTAAAGTCAGAAGATTTTCTTCTACAACAGCTTAGGTATTTCATCCCCTCATGGAAAATAGGTACTCCAGATTGATATACACAGACTTCTTCTAGACTTTCTAGACACCTATATGTCTTTGAACACCCTCCATTCTTACATGAGGTCCCAACCTTAATTTCATCATTGTCTTCTTCTTTCTTATCTTCGTCATTCCCTGATGACAGTTTGTCAAGTGCTTGTTTTAGAAAGGCAGATATTTTTAATTCCAAATTTGTCATTGGTTCATCTGGGCTTGGCATTTTTATTGCTTCTACTAACTTAGGAGCTTGAATGATGTGTTCTGAAATTTGGGTTTCAATTCAGATAGTTCCTTCTTCTCAGTAGTCTTGACTTCAGGTTTGACTGGCTCAGGTGGCTTCTCACTATTATGTCTACCTTATGTATAGCCTACAATGCTTAAAAATCAGAAAAATCCATTGTTCTTCTCTTACAGCAAGGCCAACCCTTTAATGCATCGTGAAAGACTGGGACACCTGGGTGGTATGTGCAAGTATCATCAGAATTGGTCTCAGGATCGAAGCACTGACCGCAGCCCCAGTTGTAGCACAGCAAGGCCATTTTCTTTTCCCACCATCACAGGCAAGGCCCAAACACTGGGAACGGCAAGAGGATGTGTTAGCCACTCCCGTGTCGCTAGCACTAGTCTGACGACTGAGGAGACTGCCAGCTTCCGGACTACACAATTTTTTTTTTTAAATAGAGACGAGGTTTCACCATGTTGGCCAGGCTGGTCTTGAACTCCTGACCTCAGGTGTTCTGCCTGCCTCACCCTCCCAAAGTGCTGGGATTACAGGCATGAGTCACCATGCCCGGCTAGTTTTCACACTTTTAAAGCATTCAGAAGAAGAAGGAAAAGGAGGAGGACATAAAGGCCGAGGAGGAAAATGAGGTACAGTTTATGAGGCCTGCAGAGTCTAAAATTCTATCATCTTGTCCTTTACGGAAACAGTTTATTGATCTAATGATGATAAAAGGCTAGAGAGTGGATATAGGTAGTTGGCATAGGATAGTGAAGGTGCTAACTCAAAGCAAATTGGTTTTGATGGTCTTTATTAACAAGTATAAAGAAAAATATTCACTAGGTCAATAAATGCATACCAAGTGCCAGAGAAGGTGTTTTCTCCAATAACAAAATCTCCTCCAGAAAAGTAGCTGTAATTGGAGTCACCAACAGGTTAAGTTTACAGTGATCCAATGTTTTTCTCCAAGCTCTGGCTGTCTTCTCAACAGGCTGAAGATACAAATTAAGAGGGGACGTGGTATGAATCATCGTCCCTGATTCTGCCAAGTCCTCAAAGACTCTGATTTCTCTAATCAAGTCAATGCTGTCATAAAACAATTCAGTGAATATAAGTTAGGTGACCAACTCATCCCAGTTTACCTAGGACTTACTCAGTTTTAGCATCTGAAGAACCCCCTCAGTCCTAGACAAGCAAGGGTGGTTACTCACCCTAATATACTGAGTATAAAGGAATGACTTCACTGCTTCCAGATGAGCTGGAGAACTTCAGGGAAAAAAATTGTAAGCTCAGGATTTTACATTCCCCACCTAAAGGGAAAGGACCTGAAGCTGTCTATGACTGCTCAAAATGAAAGTTTTGCCTTATATGGGAATTGGATTACAGGTGTCTGCAGATGATAAGTAACTGCTTTGCCATTACATGCTATAAACAAGTGTCCTTCTTACCAATGCAAACACAGTTATTACTGCCGATCAATTTAATCTCATCCAAGAACCAATTCCAGATAATCCAGAACCAATTCACAATAACCATCCTTAAGATTTTGTTCTCATAGAACCATTACAAACCTCAACTTCTAGAACCATCAGCGTTCAGTTAGAGAATCAGAACCTCCATAAGTGACATAAAATGGGGAATTTATTAAGGAATTAGACGTTACACAATTCTAGGAGTTGGTGGTGCCACAGGATACATTCAAAAGCAGAAAACACAATTGTACTGCTTTAAGAGTAAACTCATTCATTCCAGGTTAAACGCAGCAATTTAGTTTGTCATGTTCTGCCTTTCTCCCAGAGATGGCAGAGAAGGTCCTGAAGAAGGGTCATGGCAAAGAGTAGTGGTGAGAAATATGGAGTTGGGGGTAAAGGGGAGATAACTGATTGTCCCTTCATATCCTGGACCCTACACTCTGCTGCCATCTAGTGAGATTATGATCGCACTCGGTGCTCAGAAAACAGTCCACACAAGCATTCACTGAGTTCCTTCCCTTCCCACACATCTCTGGTCTTACGGTCCACACCTTTTTCCTCTATGTGTCTCTCATCAAGAATATGAGACTTTCGCAGGTCTACCAAGACTCTCTGTCTCTCTCTCTCTCCTAAAACTGTTCCCTTCTCAAGGACATGGGAAAAACTGGCAGCTCTTCCATGCCGTCCCTCAGGGCAATCAAAATTACAACAGACCATTTACCCTTTGACACTGTGTTTTATGGTCCTTCTTTCTTAGTGGCATCGGATCCTCATGATATCATGAAACACCTCCTTGTGTGGCTTCAGGCAGAAATCGATTACAGGACAGATGCTCATACTTCCTGGGATTCTATCCCCCTCCTTCAGAGAGCACACAGGGCTCCTCCTCAGAAACTTCACATATGTTCAGCTCTATCTCTACCTCACCAACCCCTCTCCCTTTTCCAGACCACACAAGGTTTATGGTTTGTGTTTTGTCTTTTCTTGTTTGTTTTTGCTAGATTCATGTTTCACAATTTTGGTGGAATATTCTAGCTCTTCTGTACAGATGGAAAAGACTATCACGTTACTAATGTGTATGAGCAGGCAAGGCTGGAGCGTTCTCTACAGACACGGTCATGGTGTCGAGGCAGCTGCTAGAGCTCTGCTGACAGACTGGTGTCGTATCCTTTGACATCATG